ATCCTTACCATCAGTTTCGACTGTACGTGCGCCCCGAGCCAAACATCGGGTCAGGCGCCCGGCGCGTCGCGGCTCAGGTCGATGACGGGGTAATTCAGGTCGCCCCCGGGCAGCGCCTGGAAGCCCAGCAGCCGCGGTACGTGCCTCGGTCGGGCCGCTCGGGGGGCCGTGCAGCTCGGATCTCACCATTGGGGGAGGGGACGGGGCAAAACTCCGGGAGGGGTCTCCCTGAGAACGACTGGGGGCTGTGAGGCCCACGGAGGGGGCCGCTGAGGCCCGAGGGGCGCAGGTGGGGCCCAGAGGCAGGCCGGAGTGCTGGAGCGGGATTGGGCGCGAAGCAGCCGGGGCTCTGCTGGATCAGGCTCGTGAAAGAGCACGGGCATACCAGCGCCGATGCCGAGCTCCACCTCCCAGGAGGTGCATCCTAAGGATGGGAGGGAGTGAGGGAGAGAAGAGTGGAAGAAGTGAGGAAGGGACGACTGGAGGGGAGTGAGGGAACACAAGTCTCCGTTGGTATGACTCCTACGATTCTGGTGCTTTTCGCTTACTTTGGCCCCTGGGGCCCGTTATTGGGCCCAGGGGCCATCGAACATGGTTCCGGGACAGAAACTACCCCCCTGGAAGGTCGGGCCCTCTGTTGGGATCATCGCGGGGATCATGGGCGGACAGCAAGGTGGGTTCTGCACTGCCTGACCCAGCCTGTGCGTGGGTTAGCCCCAAGGGACTCAGGTGGGGTATATCGCTCCGCCGAGCGAGCGGATCCCTCCTCAACCTCCACTTGTACCTGTATCACCTTAGGACACCCCCGCGGTGAATCCCACCAGCCCTTTAGGGCGTAGGTGGTCTAGGGAGTTTCCTCTGCCAACCCCCTTCTTCCCCTTCGGGGAGGGGTTTACCCCTCCCCTTACCCCTCCCCACTGACCTGGACGGGGCCGGTCGCGAGGTGTCAGAGCGTCCAAGATGGCCCAAGACAGCTCCAAGAGCGAACAGGCGAGAAAACACAAAACATTGATTTTACCTAGGTGTTGGAAGGATTTTGGCATCTTGGGGGGGCCCAAGAGGCGACTCGAGGCACTCTGGAGGGGCGGGGCTAATAAGCAACCCCCCCTTCTTTGATAGATCTCCTCCAAGATGACCCAAAGAGCGCCCCGAAGGCTCCCAAGAGCGCCCCAAGAGCGCCTCAAGAGGGCCCCAAGAGACCCCAAGAGGCCCCCAAGAAGCCTCCAATACGTTACCAAGAGACCCCCAAGAGGCCCCAAGAGAGTCCAAGATGACCCAAGACGGCTCCAAGAGCGAAAAGGCGAGAAAGCAACAAACATTGATTTTACCTAGGTTTTGGAAGGATTTTGGCCTCTTGGGGCGCCCAAGAGGCGACTCGAGGCACTCTAGAGGGGCAACGCTAATTGGGGACCCCCTCTTCTCTGATCGATCTCCTCCAAGATGGCCCCAAGAGCGCCCCGAAGGCTCCCAAGAGCGCCCCAAGAGCGCCCCGAGAGCGCCCCAAGAGGCCCCAAGAGGCGCCCAAGAGGCCTCCAAGAGGCCCCCAAGAGACCCCCAAGAGGCCCAAGAGGCTCCCAAGACGGGTCCAAGAGCGAAAAGGCGAGAAAACAAAAAACATTGATTTTACCTAGGTTTTGGAAGGATTTTGGCCTCTTGGGGGGGCCCAAGAGGCGACTCGAGGCACTCTAGAGGAGCAGCGCTAATTGGGGACCCCCCCTTCTTTGATAGATCTCCTCCAAGATGGCCCCAAGAGCGCCTCGAAGGCTCCCAAGAGCGCCCCAAGAGCGCCCCAAGAGGGCCCCAAGAGGCCCCAAGAGGCCCCCAAGAGGCCTCCAAGAGGCCCCCAAGAGACCCCCAAGAGGCCACAAGAGGCTCCCCGAGATACGCAAGAGGCCCCCGGGACCGCCAAGAGGCCCCAAGGACGGCCCAAGAGGCCCCCAAGCTCGCAATTGTCCTCCTCCTCCTCCTCCTCTTTTCTTCCTCCTCCTCCCTCCTCCCCCTCCCCCTCCTCCTCCTCCTCCTCCTCCTCCTCCTCCTTTTCCTTTTCCTCCTTCTCGTCCTCCTCGTCCTCGCAGTCCTCCATCTCCTCCTCCTTCTATTCCTCCTCCTCCTCCTCCTCCTGCTCCTCCTCCTGCTCCTCCTCTTCCTCCTCCTACTCCGACGACGACGGCTCCTCCTACATCCTCCCCCTCTTGGGGTATATGGCGGCTCACCCCGCCCTTTGTTCTTCTGCATGCTCCCCCGCTTCCCTCATAACCTCCACTCCCCTGGGACTCATTTCTGGACGGGCTGGTGGGGATACGCGAAGCGTCTAGAATTGCACTCTCGGGGGACCTCGTCTGTCCCATCGTGGCCCTCTCCGCGTCGGATCCGTGTCGAATCCATGCCAGCCTCGTCGGATCCGTGTCGAATCCGTGTCGAATCCGTGTCGATTCTACGCCAAATCTGCGTCGAGCCTGGATCGAGTCCGCGTCGGGCACAAGAGAAGACACCAATCTGGGGGACAGGCGAGGTCCCCCGAAGATGCAACGGAGACCCCGTCTACCCTGACCGCATCTGTCGAATCAAGGCGAGCGAGACGACGGCAAGTCAAAATCGGTCCCTCGAACCCTACTCAAGGGGCCCAGGGACACACACACACACCTATATATATATAAAACACACATAGAAAGATGCCCAATATTTTTCCACATGTTTGGGTTTTTCGTCTTCCCCCCACTTCCCATATTTTCCTAACTTTCTGAGAGTCGACGATTAATTGTTTCTGTGGGTTGTCTTCCCTCCTGACATGCCCTCTCGGACCAGTTTTCCGAGCTGCGTCCAGCTGTGAAGACGGCCCCCCCCCCCGAAGGCCAACTACGAGTATCTACACTGGCCCCTCCCAGAAGGCCCATGTCTGGGGAAAGCAGAGGGTCCCGACACTGCTACTTCCCCCCGGACCTCTCCCGGGGTGCAGTCTGACCAGGATCTTCAAGCGAATCCAGCCGTGGCGACGAGAGAGCCTCCCAGGAGGCCTCACCCAGAAGAAGTGAACACGAGGGAAGGGCAGCGGTGCCGTCGGTACCTGTCCCCGCCTTCGAAAACCACTGTCAGCCGCGTCGTCCGATTCAAATTCCCCCCCCCATTGGGATGTTAGGTCGGGCGTGTCCACCTACAGGCGGATTTTGCAAGACAGAATTTTAAATGGTGAAAATATTACATAAAAAAAGGAAAATGCTCAAAACATCGTCCCCTGACTATTCTTGTTGACTTATCCTCCTGTAGAGGACGCCCGACTTAAGCGCAGCGGTGGGCCTCGGGAAGCCGCTCTGCCGCTGGAGCTGCAGCACGGCCTCCACCGTGCCCTTCGGCGCCGGCGGGTCCTATATAGGAGCGGAGGCCTGCTTTCTCGGGGGCGCGCAAGCATGGATGAGCGATCCATGGATCTGGCGCGCGGTCGCCAGGTCCATGGATCTGGCGCGCGGTCGCCTAATCCCTGCATCGGGTGAGGTGCGCCCTCCCCAAAATGCGGCGGGTATGCCGCCTCTCGTGTGGCGGCGACAATCCGCGATCTTCCCCATGAGCCCACGGAAGCGGGACCCGTCGCTAAGCCACGCCCCCTTGAGTCCATGTTTGCGATCGCCTCAGGAGGGAGGCGAGGGGGGAGGAGGCGGAGGAAGAGGCGCCCCACGCCCATCCGAGGCCCCTCGGATCCATGGTTGCGATCGCCTGAGGCTCTCGTCCGGCCGGGCTCGGGGCCGCTCTGCTCGGGGGCCAGCCCTCCCCCCGTCCTCTCCCCCATCCCCGCCTCCACGCACTTCTCCTCCTCCTCCTCCTCCTCCTCCGCCTCCGCCTCCTCCTCCTCCTCCTCCTCCTTCTGGACAGTCCACCCGCACAGGAAAGAGGGGCAACCTTCTCAACGGGCACCCCTTGCATCCCTGCCCCTTCGGCCCGGGCTTAGCGACTTCTACTGGCCGACCTCGTTCGAGCGACGTCAGCTTTGGCCCTCCAGGGCCTCTGCGTCCCCACTGCGCATCCTTGTGATACGGGCCGACTGTACTCCGCCCTCCTCCTCTCCTCCTCCCCCTCCCGCCTCCCTCCTCCTCCCCCCTTTTCTCCTCCCACGACGAGGGAGGGGAGGGGGCAGGCTGGCGGAGGGGAGGGAAGGGTGGGGCGGGAGGAGGGAGGGACAGAGGAAGGAGAAGAAAGGAGTAGGAGGAGAAGGATGAGGACGAGAGCGCGATGTCCTAGATACATCCCCACGAGGCGATCGCTTACCACTTCGACCAAATGATCGGCATGATCGAGGCAGGCGAGATCAACATGGACACAGGAACGGACCCGGACCTCCGATCGAACACGACCAGGCCATGGCGAACGTAAAAGGAGCCCTCAACAGCTACTGCAAGTCCGAAGAGCTGCGGGAGGCATACCCTTTCCACATGATCCAGCGACAAAAGAGCCTGGCCAACTACGCCAACCACCAGCTGGCCCAGATACTCGATTTCCAAGAGTTCCACGGCCGCGACGACATCCCTGAGCCAGCAGAAGTGGTACATCAGAAGAGGGACATCCCCATGATAATCAAGGTGGCCATATGACACAACCCTACATCTACGCCGACGCCATTCCGTGTCACAAACCTTCAGAGGGAGACCTCAATCGAGGCAATGGTCAAGATGGCCGAACTGATCAACAACCAGACCCCGTTGCCCCAGGACGACACACAGCCTCTTCAGAACCCACAGCCGACTCCCGACCCCCCGACCGTCTTCGACCTGATGCAGCCTAGTGACGAGCACATCAGGACCGCCCCATGCCACGATCAACAGCTGGATCAGCAGCCGCCGACTCCACCACCAAAGGGAGCGGAGCTGACTTACAACACACTGGCAGACTCAGCGGATGTCGCGTTTCGGGGACCAAACTGACGGTGGCGGGACCGCACAGCACCAACCAGAACCACACCAGACCATGCAGCACATCACCCACGATGACTGCGATACAGAATCTACGATCCGCAATACTATCACTGACCACAACGCAGACCTGGACGCGTACGACATGGCTTGGGAATGAACGCCGCTGACGTTCCAGACCACAGACGGACACCACGGCATCAACCACCACAGCGAACAGCAGGAGGTGGACAAGGAAATCCTCCCAGCCTACGGCCCCGATCCGTGGAAACCCTGGCCGACCCTCGCAGACGCCGTCAAAGCGAACCAGCACGACCAACACGACCAAGCTACGGCGAATTAAGAAACTGCCCCCTGATCACCCACGACACCGAGGCCCGCCTCGCAAGTGGACCGGCCTAACGGCGGCCGGTCAGTGCGCTATGTCCTCACACACCTACCTCGTGCTTCACAGCAGACAGGACCGCCAGCTGCTACCTAGCAATTCCAATATCTGCATGATTATTTCTACCGAAACATACGCACTCACAGTATGACGGAAGCAGCACAGCTGGTGGAATGATATTTCACCCTCTCTACGGCAGTACCCTACAGGGTGAACATCAGTGGCGACTGCGATCAACGTGGGTCCTTACGGGCCTTTCTCACCCACTTCGTGACACACCACTGGGACAGGCAGCACAATACGGCGTGAACATCAGTGGCGATTGCGGTCACCTTCAGGCGATTGCAAATGAGTCACATGCTGAAGGCCTCCACCAACATCCAACCCTCCCCTCCTCCCGGCTCACCTGCTTGCAGCCCCGTCTCCCCCTACCGTACTCAACGAACCTCCTCAACACCCTCCTCTTCTGGTCGGGAAGAGGTTGGATTTACATACATGGGCGGGGGAAGGAGCTCATACTCACCGCCGGCCCGCGGGCCGTCCTGGCAGGGGCCAGGGCGGCCGCGGCCATTCCGCAGCAAGCAAAAGGCCACGCCACCTTCTCTGGATGGCACGCATCTCAATTTGTCCACCTACCTCCACTGGCCACGGCCCGTGTCCGGCAGCCGCGATGTCCATCGCCTGCCGCAGCAACAGAGGGAGGATGGGTCGGGGCGACGATCTGGGCGGGGAGAGTCACATCCACCGTCACCGCGCGTGCCACCGCCACGAAATTGGCAGAAACCACCCCACGCGGGGTGTACCCCCCCAAGCAGCCACCACTCCCGTGATCTGGGTGCCCCACTCTTGCCTCGGCGGGGGGGGAAACCAGCCATGGGGTTGGTGGCCGCTCAGGGGGGCTTCCTGTGCGCAGGGGGCGAGGCCCTTCTGCCATCTACCTTGGCTTGCGTGGCCGGCGCCGCCGCCACGCCGCCAGTGGGGGAGGGCCCACACCTCCCTCGCGCCGGGTGGACCCCCCCCCCAAGGCGGCCCAGAGGCCGACGTGCTGGGAACCCTACGCATGCGTGCAGGCGAGGGAGGAGGAGGAGGAGGAGGAGGAGGAGGAGGAGGAGGAGGAGGAGGAAAGGGAGGAGGAGGAGGAGGAAAGGGGAGGAGGAGGAGGAGGAGAGGAGGAGGAGGAGGATGAGAGGAGGAGGAGGGGGAGGAGGAGGACGAGGAGGAGGAGGAGGCGGAGGAGGAGGAGGAGGAGGAGGATTCCCCTGGGCAGGGGGAGAGGCCCTTGGGGCCCCCCTCCGCTGCAAGCGGCACCCCCAAAAAAGGAGGGGCCCGCGGAATCTTCTACCGCCTGCCGCCCACACCCGCCACCGCAACGCGCCTCGCCTTCTCCTCGCTTCCACTCGGCTTAGCATGCCCCTTGTACAGGAGGAGCACCCCGAAATAGTCAAAAAACACGTAGACACTGGGGGCAATGTTTGGATTCTGTTTGACTTTGTTTGAAATTTGTCCCAACCATCCTGCGGTGTTGGGTCCTCGTTTGGAAGAGACGGTGCCCCGCGCTCTCCTCTTCTCCTCCACGCTCTCCTCCTCACCCTCCTCCCTCTCCTCCCTCCTCCCTGCGTGTCACCCACCCAATACAGCGCTCCGTGGCCCCATAGGGAGCTCCACCGAAGCCCCCAGTGGGACCGCCCGCATGCGTCCCACACACCCAGTACAGCGTTTCGTGGCCCCCTCCTCCCTCCCCCCTTGCGTTTCACCCACCCAATACCGCGCTTCGTGGCCCCATAGGGAGCCCCACCGAAGGTCCCAGTGGGACCGCCCGCATGCGCCCCACGCACCCAATTGGGCATGACCACCCCCCCCGTACAGCGCTTCGCGGCCCCATAGGGAGCTCCACCGAAGCCCCCAGTGGGACCGCCCGCATGCGTCCCACACACCCAATTTGGCATGACCACCCACCCACGCCCCACGCCACGCCACGCCCCTTGCTTCCCTCCTTCGCATGCACCCCCGCCGCCAGCCTCACTGACCGCAGGTGGCACGCCAGCCCACCTCTTTTCATCAGGGCACCTCTGCCGAGGGGGACCCTGGGCACCCGCCAGAGCGCTGGCCCGCCAGGGCCCGGCGGCCCGCAGGAGCGGGGACCCGGCTCGACAACGAGAACAAACGGCACGAGGGCCCACACCTCGTTTTTTTGCTGCCGCCACCCACCGCCAACGCCACGCTGCCGCCCAGGTCTCCCCCGTGTCTCATCCTCCCGATGGTCGTTTGATGCGATTTGAAGTATGATGGTCTCTCCTTCGTCCTCCTCCCCCTCCTCCCGTCTTTCTGCGGGGCCCAGGTCCCCAATCTTTCCGTTGTATTACCACTTCCCCAGGGGGGCCCGACCAGGCTTCGCTGGGGAAGCGGCAAGGCCTGAAGACCTTCACGCCGTGAGGAACCGAGGAACCGAGGAGGTTGAGGAGGAGGAGGAGGAGGAGGAAGAGGAGGAAGAATGAATGGGAAGCCCTCAAGGCCGTGAGGCGCACATACGCGAGGACGAGGAGGTTGGCGGTGGAGGAGCCCGCGAGACGAGGACAAGGAAAGGCCCGAGAAGCCGCGAGGAGAAGCGGGCGGCTCCCTGTGCGGCTTCACGAAGCTCATGACGTCGCTGCCGCAGGGCACCAGGCAGACCAGCCCGGCGAGCTTCTGCTGCGTGGCCCTGCTCCGCACCTCCACGTGCACGGGGGCGCAGCCCTCGCCGCCCCCGAAGAAGTCCATGATCTCCGCGATGCGCAGCGGCTTCCCACTCAGGTCCACGACCGCGGCCGCGTCCTTGTCCTGGTACGTCGGCGGTCTGACCAGGTTCTCAACCACGTTGGCCTTGTACTCCTGCATCTGCAGGAACGCGATCCTCACCTGAGCGACGCCATCAAATTAGCCTGGCGAAGGACCCAACTATATGCAGTTGTGAGTCCCGCAGTTATGGGTATCGTCTCCAGTGGAGCTCCCTATGGACCACGAAACGCTGTACTGGGTGGGGGGGGGGCGCATGCGAACTTTGTCACTGGCGCCTTCGGTGGAGCTCCCTACTGGACCACGAAGCGCTGTACTGGGGGAGGGAGAACTTTGCCACTGGGACCTTCGGTGGAGTCAGCGAAACGATGTACTGGGTGTGGGAAACGCTTACGGGCGGTAGCGTTGGGACCTTCGGTGGAGCGCCATATGGGGCCACGAAGCGCTGTACTGGGTGGGGGCGACGCATGTGGACTGTACAACTGGGGCCTTCGGTGATGCTCCCTACGACGCCACGAAGCGCTTTACTGGGTGGGGGACACGCAGGCGGACGGTTCCACGTGGGCCTCCTGTGAAGCTCCCTACGGGGCAACGAAACGTTGTGTGCTGGGCGGGGGAGGTGCATGTGAAAGTGGTAATGAGCCTTCGGTGGAGCTCCCCATGGGGACACGAAGCGCTGTACTGGGTGGGGGGGACGAATGCGAACGGTGCCACTGGCGCCTTCGGAGGAGCTCCCTACTGGACCACGAAGCGCTGGACTGGGTGGGTGGGTGGTGGGGGCGAATGCGGGCGGTAGCACGTGGGCCTTCTGTGGGGCTGCCTGTGGGGCCACGGAGCTTTGTGTTCGGGGGGGGGGGGGGGGGGGGGGCGCCCGCGGGAGGTAACACTTGGGCCGTAGGTGGAGCCCCCTATGGGGCCACGGAGCGCTGTACTTCGTGGGGGGGGCGCATGCGAACTTTGTCACTGGGGCCCTCGGTGAAGCTCCCTATGGGGCCACGAGGCGCTGTACTGGGGGAGGGAGAACTTTGCCACTGGGACCTTCGGTGGAGTCAGCGAAAAGCTGTACTGGGTGTAGGAAACGCTTACGGGCGGTAGCGTTGGGACCATCGGTGGAGCTCCCTATGGGGCCACGACGCGCTGTACTGGGTGGGGGCGACGCACGTAGACTGTACAACTGGGGCCTTCGGTGATGCTCCCTACGACGCCACGAAGCGCTTTACTGGGTGGGGGACACGCAGGCGGACGGTTCCACGTGGGCCTCCTGTGAAGCTCCCTACGGGGCAACGAACCGTTGCACTGGGCGGGGGTGACGCATGTGAAAGTGGTAATGAGCCTTCGGTGGAGCTCCCCATGGGGACACGAAGCGCTGTACTGGGTGGGGGGGGACGCATGCGGACGGTGCCACTGGCGCCCTCGGTGGAGCTCCCTACTGGACCACGAAGCGCTGGACTGGGTGGGGGGGGGGGGGGGGGGGGGGGCGAATGCGGGCGGTAGCACGTGGGCCTTCTGTGGGGCTGCCTGTGGGGCCACGGAGCTTTGTCTTCGGGGGGGGGGGGGGGGGCGCCCGCGGGCGGTAACACTTGGGCCCTAGGTGGGGCCCCCTATGGGGCCACGAAGCGCTGTACTGGGCGGGGGCGACGCATCGCATGCGGGCGGTAACACTGGGCCCGTCGGTGGGGCTTCCTATGAGGCCACGACGCGCTGTACTGGTTGGGGGGACGCATGCGGGCGATAGCGCTGGGCCCGTCGGTGGAGCTTCCTGTCGGACCACGGAGCGCTGCACTGGGTAGAGGGATGCATGCGGACGGTAGCACTGGGACCTTCGGTGGGGATCCCTGTGGGGCCACGGAACGCCGTACTGGGGGGTGGGGGGGCACATGCGGGCGGTAACGCTGGGACCTTCGGCGGAGCTCCCTATGAGGCCACGGAACGCTGTACTGGGTGGGTGGGTCGCATGTGGGCGGTAACACTGAGGCCGTCGGTGGAGCGCCGAGACCACCAAGCGCTGCACTAGGGTGGGAGGAAAACGCATGCGGGCGGTAGCACTTGGGCCTTCGGTGCGGCTGCCCGTGGGGCCACGAGGCGCTGCCCTGGGTGCGGGTGACGCTTGCGGGCGGTAGCGTTGGGACCTTCGGTGGAGCTCTCTATGGGGCCACGAAGCGCTGGACTGGGTAGGGCGACGCATGCGGGCGGTAGCACTGGGGCGCCGGCGGAGCTTCCTATGGGGCCACAGAAGGCTGTACTGGGTGGGGGGGGGCGCATGCGGGCGGTAGCACTGGGCCCGTCGGTGACACTTCCTTTTGGGGCCACGAAGCGCTGCTGTATTGGGTGGGGGGGACGCATGCGGGTGGTAGCACTGGGCCCGTCGGTGGAGCCACGAAATGTTGTACTGTGTGGGGGCGACGCATGCGGGCGGTAGCACTGGGACCTTCGGTGGAGCTCCCTATGGAACACGAAACACTGTACTGGGTGGGGGGACGCATGCGGGCAGTAGCACTGGGGCCGTCGGTGGAGCCCCCTACGGGGCCACGAAACGCTGTACTGGGCGGGAGGGACGCATGCGAGTGGTAGCACTGGGACCTTGGGTGAAGATCCCTATGGGGGCCACGAAACGCTGTACTGGGTGGGGGTGGACGCATGCGGGCGGTAGCACTTGGGCCTTCGGTGGAGCTCCCTACTGGGCCACGAAACGCTGTAAAGGGTGGGGAATCAATGGAAGGGGGAGGAGGGGGAGGAGGAAGGAACGCGGAGGGCTGTCTCTTCAAAACGAGAACCCAACGCCACATACTGGTTCGGAACCAATCTCACGCACGATGACATTAGCAGCCGTACGCGGTGGCTTGCGGGCCGCCAGAGCGGCACGCTACATCGGAAACGATGCCTTTTGAGCGCGACCTCGCGCGTGCAGCTTACGCGCGAATGTCCGCGCAGTCGATCCTGTTCTTTTGTGTGGCTGACCTGCGCCTTGGGCATCTCCTTCCTGCCGTCCTCCATCAGCTTCCACTTGGGCTGGCCGAGCTCCTCGAAGTCGCCGTTGACCTGATGTGTTCATACGCGCGCTCTCCGCCCGATCTCGAGGCGATCCGAAGACGATCTGAAGAGCGGAAACGTGTCGCTGGCTTTTTGAGTGTTATGCAGTAGGGGCCCGATCACAAGAAACCTTCCACAAGACACCCAACCCTGAGACCCCAACACGTCCATGGGTGTTTGGTGTGGGGAGCGTCACGTTTTCCATAGCAAAACCATCGAAACCCAAGAAACCCAGGGCACCCTGGAGGCGAGCAGGGTGTTTCTTGGCATGGGTCTTCACTGTGTACAATCCAAGCATGGCGACCAAAAGTCGTGTCAAGAACGCGAGCCCCTTCGCCAAAGGCCAGGTCCGACGGAGATACCCACAACGAAGCACGTGCGAAAATGGACAGGCCAAACACGCAGAACAGAAGGGCACTTCTCTGGAGAAACGGCTGCTCTTGACTCTCGTGCGCCAGCTCTACTCCAGGAGACTCACGGGACGACCGGCTGCGCAAAAACTGCCGCGGATGTAAGCCGGAGCACGGCAACTGCCTGCAACGGTGGAGAAGAACCCCACCTGAAGGGGGCAGCGGGACGCCGGGGAGGCATGACAACGGGAGCAGCAGCAGCAGGAGCAGGACGAGCAAGGGGATCGCCAGCCCCGCCCAGAAGGGGCAGTGAGTAGAGGCCTCCCAGATGGGGTACGAGTAGAGAGGGCCCGAGTCGCATCGGGCCCCACATCGAGTCGCATCGCTGATGCCTCGGCGATGCGGCGCGATCCTGCGACCCCATCTGCGCGGACCACAGCTGGGACGCCTACAGTCGAGCTTGATTGGAGAGGGTACGCCAGAGGACACAAGACCCTTTCGAGGGCCACGTGGCCGTAGGAATGGGAGAAGGCATGGGTCGCGAGGCACAGGACACCAGGGCACCCTTCGATCTGGCAGGGGGCCGACTGTAGAGTTAGGTCAGGCATGTCCTCCTACAGGCGGATTTTGGGCGAAAAATAAATTACGCTACCCAGGAACCCCAGGTACTTATATTATGGCTGGAGTGATGGTAGCTGAAGTGAAGCATGTGAGAATGATGTTGGTGGCCATTCCCTGCGCACCCCCTGCGGTGTCGAGAAAGTGCCACGCCTGTTGCGCCCTGGACGACCGGCTCGGATAGCGGCCGTGCTCAGAGACCACCACCTGCGGACCCCCTAAGACTACGAGAATATGCCACGCCTGCTCCGCCCTGGACGACCGGCTCGGATAGCGACCGCGCTCAGAAACAAAGACCTGCAACCCCTGTGAGGCGTCGAGAAAGTGCCACGCCTGCTATTCCCTGGACGACCGGCTCGGATAGCGGCCGCGCTCAGGGACCACCCCCTGCGCACCCCCTATGGTGTCGAGAATATGTCACGCCCGCTATGCCCTGGACGACCGGCTCGGATAGCGGCCGCGCTCAGAGATCACCCCCTGCGCACCCCGTTTGGCGTCGAGAATGTGCCATGCCTGCTATGCCCTGGGCGACCGTCACGGGTAGCGGCCGCACTCGGACACCACCCCGTGCGCACCTTTGACGAACAATCACTGGCGCGAGCAGGCCTGCGTGCAAACCCGAACGGACTGAGCCGGCATGAGCCAGGGCGGCTACAAATGCTGGATGATCAAAGTGAGGGGGCTGAACCGAACGGTCATTCACTGTCCCTGGGTACGTGGCTGAAGTGGAATTCCGCGATGCGGATTCTTGTTGTTGTTGTTGTCGTTGTTGTTGTTGTTGCTGTTGTTGTGGTTGTTGGTTGTTTGTTGTTTGTTGTTGTCGTCGTCCCACCCGCGACCCACCCCGCGACCCACCCGCGACCCACCCCGCGACGCACCCGCGACCCACCCGCGACCTCACCCGCGACCCACCCGCGGCCCACAGCGCGACCCACCCGCGACCCACCCGCGACCCACCCCGCGACACGCCCGCGACCCACCCCGAGACCCACCCGGCGACCCACCCGCGACCCACCGGCGACCCACCCGCGACCCACCCGCGACCCACCCCGCGACCCACCCGCGACCCACCCGCGACCCACACCCACGCGCGCGACCCACCCCGACCCACCAAAAAATGTTCGGCGCCTGCGGCGGGTTTCTTTTGCATTCGTTCTAGGTGGAGAACCTGCGACCCACCGGCGACCCAACCCGTGCCCGCGACCCACCCGCGACCCACAGCGACCCACCCGCGACCCACCCGCGACCCACCCCGCGATCCACCCCGCGATCCACCCAAAACTTTTGGCGCCTGCGGCAGACTTCTTTTGCATTCGTTCCAGGTGGAGAACCTGCGACCCACCCGCGACCCAAACCGCGTTCAGTGTACAACTCATTTTTTTTCTGCGCCTGCGGCGGGCTGTTTTTGAAATCCTTCCAGGTGGAGGTGGAGAGCCCGCGACCCACCCGCGACCCAAACTACGTTCACTGAACAAGTCAAAACTTCGGCGCCTGCGGCGGGTTTCTTTTGCATTCGTTCCAGGTGGAGAACCTGCGACCCAAACCGCGTTCAGTGTACAAATCAAAACTTGCGGCGCCTGCGGCGGGCTGTTTTTGCATTCCTTCCGGGTGGCCCACCAGCGATCCCCCCCGCCCTAAACTTGTCAGAGCACGACGATGACGATGAGGATGAGGACGCGGACGAGGAAGATGAGGAGGAGGAGCAGGAGGAGGAGGAGGAGGGGGAGGAGGAGGAGGAGGAGGAGGAGGAGGAGGAGGAGGAGGAGGAGGAGGGCGCCATCGACAAGGAAGGTGAGGGCCACGAGGTCCGCTAGCTCGACGCCCGCGTCGCCCGCGCCCGCCCCCTCACTCTCATCCGCACTTGCGGGGTGCTACGGTAATTCGCCGGCCCAACGGGCCAGAGGCGTGCTAAGATCTCCGGTAACTGGTAAACAGTATTTCTGGTTCGCGCGCGCGGGGCGGCCCCTGGGGGTCCCTGGATCAAAAGTACCCCGAGAGGAGCCCAGGACACGCCCGGGACACGCCCGAGACACGCCCGGGACACTCCCCCAGATCCTACAGGATCGCCCCAAGAGGGCCCCAAGAGGCCCCCAACACAATCCAAGAGAGGTCCGAGACGCCCGAAGATCGCTCCACGGCGCCCAAGATGGCCTCCAGACGGCCCAAGAGGTCTCCAAGATGACCCAACAAGCCTCCAAGATGCCCCAAGAGGCCTCCAGGAGCACTCCCAAGAGGGCCCCAAGAGGCAAACATCAATGTTTTTTCTTAGGTTTTGGACAGATTTGGGGGCGTTTCAACCTTTTCGGTTCCCCGACGCCCCTAAACGGCTCAAGAGGCCTCCAAGATCGCCCCAAGATGGCCCAAGAGGTCCTCAAAAGGGCCCCAAGACGGCCCAAGACGGCTCCAAGACGGCCCCAGAGGCCTCCAAGACGGCCCAAGAGGGCCCCAAGAACGCCCCAGACACGGTCCAAGAGAGGTCCGAGACGCCCGAAGATCGCTCCATGACGCCCAAGATGGCCTCCGGACGGCCCAAGACCTCTCCAAGATGGCCCAAGAAGCCTCCCAGATGCCCCAAGAAGAGAACTCCCAAGAGGGCCCCAAGAAGCAACAAACTGTGCTTTTCCTTTGGTTTTGGACAGATTTATCGACAACTACACAGCTCCCGACGCCGCAGCTCCACACTGCAAACGACCACTTGGACAGGCGACCACGGTGCGACATTATGGGCCGGCGGAATGAGCGAAGCGATTAGATAACACTCACCTCGCCAGCGTTCCCCTGTGCCCTGAGCACGACCGGCACGGATAGCAAACTTGCGTACCGATGTGCCCTGAGCACCACCGTCACGGATAGAGGCCGCGCTTAAGGACCACCCCGTGCGTACCCCCTGTGGTGTCGGTCGAGAATATGCCATGCCTGCTATGCCCTGGACGACCGGCACGGATAGCGACCGCGCTCAATGACCACCCCCTGCGCACCCCCCATGGTGTCGGGAAAGTGCCACGCCTGCTACGCCCTGGACGACCGGCACGGATAGCGGCCGCGCTCAGAGACCACCTCCTGCGCACCCCCTATGGTGTCGAGAAAATGCCACTCCTGCCATGCCCTGGGCGTCCGGCACGGATAGCGGCCGCGCTCAGGGACCACCTCCTGCGCACCCCCCATGGTGACGGGAAAGTGCCACACCTGCCGTGCCCTGGACGACCGGCACGGATAGCGGCCGCGCTCAAGGACCACCCCCTGCGCACCCCCCATGGTGTCGAAAGTGCCACGCCTGCTACGCCCTGGACGACCGGCTCGGATAGCGGCCGCGCTCAGAGACCACCCCCTGCGCACTGCCCCTGGTGTCGAAAAAGTGCCACTCCTGCCGTGCCCTGGACGACCAGCTCGGATGGCGGCCGCGCTCAGGGACCACCTCCTGCGCATCCCCTATGGTGTCGAGAAACTGCCGCTCCTGCCATGCCCTGGACGACCAGCACGGATAGCGGCCGCACTCAGGGACCACCCCGTGCGCACCCCCCATGGTGTCGGGAAAGTGCCACACCCGCTACGCCTGGACGACCAGCTTGGATGGTGGCCACGCTCAGGGACCACCTCGTGCGCACCCCGATGGTGTCGAACATGCCACGCCTGCTAGTCTTGGCGACAGTGTCGTAGACATGCACTGTGTTCAGGGACCACCCCCAACGCACTCCCTCTGGTGTCGAGAAAATGCCACTCCTGCCGTGCCCTGCGCATCCTACACGTGCGATTTGTGTATGGCGTGTGATGTGTATGTGTATGATGCGTGTGCGGCCGTATCGGGACGTGTGCCTCATGTGGGTGCCCAATCTGTTGTGCATACGTCTTGGGTGTGTGATGCTATGAACGCGCCAGGCGTGCACTAGCGTTGTATGGTGTGTGTATGTGTGTGTATGTGTGTGTGTGAGTGTGTGTATATGCGTGCGGCTGCATGTAGACGCGTGTCTGATGCATGTGCAGTGCATGTGTTGCGTGTGGGTGAAGGGAAGAAGGACGAGGAGTAGGAGAAAGGGGGAGGCGGGAGGTGAGGAAAACGCGGGTGCGACGCGGGTGGGAAGAAAACCATAATCCCACGAAACATGTGGGACAAATAATCATAACAAATTCAAACATAGTCACAAAAGAAATTAACTAACAATCGTCCCCAGACCGTTTTCTTAATATTTTTGAATATTCCTCCTGTAGGGGGACATGCTCGACTCAAATGTAGAGTCGGATGGGGGGCGCGACCTGCAGGTGCAGAACACCCTGGGGGTCGCCACCCCGCCGCCACGCGGCCAGGACCTCGGGGAGCAGGCGCGCCACCAACTGCTGCGCCAGCGCCCCCGGCTCCGCGCTCCACAGCCTCTCCGTCTTGACGACCTCCTTCTCCCAGTCCTTGCAGAGTGATCTCCCAATCCTGTCGTCACGACTTGTTTTACGGGAAGTTGGAGAGCCCCCCAAGGGGAAATAGGGTCCGGCTTCGTGTCCGTATCGTGGAGTGCGGGCGAGGCGAAGCTGCGTGGGCGCCCGAGAGGACTGACCCCGCCGTCGCTAGGGCGATTTGGATGCAGTCGGCCGCCCCTCCGCCCCCGGTGGGCGCGCGGTGGCCTGGGGTGTCCCGCCGTGGTGTCCTGTGGTATCACGTTGGTGTCAAGTCGGGCATGCTCCTCTACAGGAGGAACTTTCGAGAATGGTTATAAAACGTAGTCTAGGGACGATTGTTCGTGCTCCATAGACTAGTTTTGGATATGTTTCGGCTATGATATATTTTGGCTCCAAAACCCGCCTGCAGGAGGACATGCCCGACCTGACGGTGGTGTCCAACTGGTGCCCCTCGGTGTGCCGTCGGCGGTGGAGGTTGGGCGGTGGCCGGGGGCGGCCCGCCTCGGTGTATCGACAGTGAAAGTCGATCGCGAAGTCGATGGCGAGATCGATAATGGGATCACTAGAATGGTGAGATCGATAATGGGAGCGACTTCGTCCCGATGTTCTCTTGTGGCTATTTGTTCTTCCTCTTCCTCTCCATGCTAACGCTCCTCCAGGTTCTAACTGTCGTTCAGTTGTTCCTGATGTACAACTCGCGGGGAAGAACCAACAGCATCAACATAAACAGTTGGCGTTCCGCGCGGACTTATTGGATCCGCGCTGGGCCCCCCCTGGCGGCGTTTCCGGCGCCGCCCCCGGCGCGCTACGCGTGCCAGGGAGGGGGGTCCAGCGCAGATCCAAGAAATCTGCGCAGATCGCCAACAGTTTATGTTTATGTGTTTTCTTCCTCTAGATAAATCAAAAGTGATCGCTGGTGGGATCGATGGTGGGACCGATCGATCAATTCATTGGTACTATAGGTGGCCGCAAGGTCGACAGCGGGGACGATAGTGGCATTGCATTGCGGCGCAGCGTCGTCATCACGCGTCGTCGCTAACTCGAGGGCGCGTCACCAGCATCGTCATCATCACACCCACCACATTTGCCAGCAGTTGCTTCTCTCCCCCCCACAACACCTTATCACCCGAATTGCCGTCGTCCAAGTCAAAAGTGGGTTTGCCATGTGTCGGGCCCAAAGGCCCTCACTGATCGTTCCGGCTCGAGCCAGGGCGCCGAAAAATGGGGTCCGGGGCTCCAGTCGAGTTTTGCTGACGATGTCGCAGTTTACTATGGCGTCGGATCTCAGGGTTTTTGCGCGGGTGATGAAACAACACCGTCTCATATAGAGTAAAGGAAAACCCGTGCGGATTTCTTGGATCGGCTGTAAGCCCCCATGGCGGCGGCTCCGGCGCCGCCCCTGGCGCGATGCACCCGCGAAAACGGGGAGTCCAGCTCCGATCCGAAAAAATCGCGCGGATCTCAAAAAGTTTACGTTTACGCCACCTCGCCTCTGCAGTCATCGGCAACGTGGGCACACTCAATGCAGACATAAATGCCGAAAACCCAGACACCGACGTCGTGACTTTGTCACGACGGGAACCCCAAAGGCCCACGACAGGACCCCTTCCCCGGGGACCGGTCTTTCACCCCGAGCCGTGTCTTGAAGGCCCCGAAGGCCGGCAAAGCCCGCAGAGGCCGCCGAACATACTAGCGAGAAGTCTCCCGTCGTGATTTGTTCATGCCTCGAGGGGGTTTGGGAACGCCCGAAAAGCGCGGCAACGTCCCTAGCATAGGCAAACGCTCGCGAGCTGGCAAAACTGACGGAGGAGGAGGAGGAGGAGGAGGAGGAGGAGGAGGAGGAGGAGGGGCCTGGCTCACGGACGGGAGCAGCCTGTATGTACAAAGGGCCTTTCCCGTGGGAGCTGGACTACGCGAGGCGCCAGTGCGACTAGCTGGAGGGTTTCTACAGCATGTGGACGCACGGCGACCACGGCTGGGGCTACGACGAGGTCGCGCAGGACGGGGCGCCCACTGCGGGCGGCGGCGCAGCCGCCGAGACTGTCATCAACATTCAGCCCCAGCGGCCGCCGTGCAGGTGTCCCAATCCAGCGGTCAAGGGGTGGACCACACACGGAGCGAAGGTCGTGAAGCTGTCGCAGCAGGGGCAGCCGCCCACGCGGGGGATGGTGCAGCAGCAGCCGATGCAGTGCCCAAGCAGCAGCAACAACATAACGTACGACCAGGAGGCAGCACGCGCTGCAGGCTGGGGAGTTGGCATCGGCGCCCCGAGCAGCGGCAGCACGCAGAACACTGAGGGAGCCGAAGTGTGATAGCGGCACTGTTCCCAGCAGCAGGGCGCCGAAGAGCACGTTGCTCAGCAGCAGTAGCACGGTGCACAGCGGCAGTAGCACGGTGCTCAGCAGCAGTAGCACGGTGCTCTGCAGCACGGTGCTCATCAGGGGTTGCCATGCAGCACGGAGCATTCTAAAGTGCCAGCCTGAAGAGGACGAGGCGGGGGGGAGGGGCGGGAGTGTTGGGAGCGGGGAGTGAGGCGTGGAAAGTGGGGGAGTGTAGAGGTCCTCAGCAGGGGTCGCCCCGCCCCCGAGCAGGGGGGGCAGCCCCCCCTGCCCTGGTTTTTTATATGTTTTATTTATTTGTTGTTCTACCGAGGGCGGGGTCTCCCGCTGGAGGGGCAGGAGGACCCCCCTCCACTGAGAGGGGGCCTCGACGCCCCAGGCTGCCCCCCTGGAAGAAAGGGGGCTAGCATCCATATGCTACCCTAGGGGCCCTTTTCGAGGCGCAGTCCCAGCAGGGGCGCTCGAAGACCTGGACCCCCCACGGGCCTTTACCTTTACATTACCTCCTCCTCCTCCTCCTCCTCCTCCTCCTCCTCCTCCTCCGTCAACTTTGTCAGCTCGCGAACGTTTGCCTATGCTAGGGACGTTGCCGCGCTTCTCGGGCGTTCCCAAACCCCTCGAAGCCTCGTGAAAAAAAATCACGACGGGAGACTTCTCGCTAGTATGTTCGGCGGCCTCTGCGGGCTTTGCCGGCCTTCGGGGCCTTCAAGACACGACCTCCCTGCACTTGTTAATCGCCGCTGCGAGCTCGTCGATCTGCGTCTTGAGCAGCACCGTAGCGTGTGCCCGCCCCATCTCCTCGTGGCAGCTGAAGCTCTCCGAGGCGCAGATGCGAGCGAGCGTCATGGCGACTCGGCCCCGGCACCGTGTCCGAGTGCTGGAGCAGCTTCGGGAGGAGGTCGCCCGTGCCCTGCAGGGCGCAGTGCGCGGTGGCGAGGCGGTTGGCCACGGTGCCGAAGACGGCGCCCGTCACTCCGCTACCTCTGTCTGCCGCTTTCTGCACAACGACGTCCTCCTTCGGCTTCGGCTGTGGTGTGTTCTCGCCGCCGCTCTGCTCCTGCTGCGCCTCTGCCGCCGCCGCCACCTTCTCCACTGGCTCGCTGTGGGAGGCCATCGTACTATCACTAGCACTGTCGCTGCTGCACGTGGAAAGAGACAGAGAAGCTCGCTCGCTGTCGAGGAAATAGCTGCGGATGGGGGAGGGCGTAGGTGGTTGGACGCCGGACCTCGCAGTCGGATTGCCCCCCCATTGTTGCTCCCTGTGGAGCGAAGCTGGCGTCGGGGATAGCCCCGTCGTACGCCGTCGTCTGGGTCGCTGCTACTGCCTGTGGTAGGTTGGGGGAGCCGAGGTGGGATCACAGACGCACCGCGGTCGCGTTGATGGTAATAAGTAACCTTTTGTGGTTCCCCCCCCCCGCGTAATAACGCACTGCCTCGGCGGCGGGGTTGATGAGTTGCGCTGCCAGTCGCGCGCGCCCACTGCCAGCGGGGGAAGAGGAAGGGTATCTGGGAAACAAAAGTTGATATAGTGGAGCGTTGACGGTCCGTCTGTAGTAACGGCATACTGTAATACATAAGAGACCAGCTTGCCTGTTATTTTCCATAGTCTGACAGTAATTCCTGGACCGTAAGTCGCGGTAGTAATTAGCGAGCTGGAGTAATGTAGCCACGTGCCCCCCGCGGGCTTGGGCCTGCCCGCGCAACTTAGTATATCGTTCCAGGTCGCTTCTGATATCTTTGGCGAGCTCTTCCTCTCGAGACTCTGGTGGGTCTGCTGGGGGCCAGGAGGTAGTGGGCCCCGACCCGCTGTCCGCTTGGGCGCTCGCGGGGCCTGAGGCGCTGCTGCGGCGCCTGCGGCTGCTGGGCTGCGAGGCGTGCGGCTGGCAATCTACTGGCCGCGGCGCCGATTGAGCTGGGCCTCCGCGACCCGCTCGAGGCCGCCCGCCGGGCCCCTCAGCGGCCCCTCTCGGCGCCCAGGTATGCCAGCGCCAGCGCCGCGCCCTGCTTGAACACAGCTCCCCCTTGGACCCCATGGACTTGGTGATCTGGCCCTCCTCGATCTGCCGCTGGTGGATCGCCGCGCGAAACGAGGGGGCAGTGTTGATCGAGTAAAGGAGCTTCGCCCTGCGAATGCCCGTCTCCATGGCCTCGTCCGGGTGGCTCGGCGCTTTCCTGGATCTTGCGCTGCAGGAAGGCCTCGGTGATGAACGTCGCTCCGCACGGCTGCTCCAGCGGCTCGAGGGACTCCGTTAAGCTCCGGAGGACCCGCTGCGTCGACGGGTCGAGGTCCTGCTTGTTCTTGAACGCCTTCGTGAGCTCCTCGGCTAGCGTTGCCGCCGCGTGGCCGTGAGGTGGTCCGAGGCCGTGGCCCTTGCCCGCCGTCTTCACCTTCCTGCCGCACTCGCTCTGTCTCGATCGGCGCCTGGGCCCAGTCCTCCAAGAGGGGCGCGAGCCGCTCTGGAGCGCGAGGCGCTGCAAGGCTCGAATGCTGCATCGTGGGTCTCCCTTGGCTCCGTGACCGTCGCGCCCTCCACCGCCTGGGTTGCCCTGCCCTCCTCCTGATCTGCTCCTGCGCCCGCGGCTGCGCCCTGTCCGCCTGTGTTCGCTTGCTTCTGCGCGCGGACGCGGGCCTCCTGCGGGGGCGGGCGCTTGGTGGCGATGATGCGCCTGTCC